CAAAAAAATTATACATTTATATTAAAGGAGAAGTTATACATAATTAAGTTTCAATAAGTTTAGTTATTCCCAAAGTTATCTATGGTTAATAATGAATATTTTCCAATGCTTATATATATATATATATATATATATATATATATATATATATATATATATATATATATATGGTTTACCAGTATTAACCATCACTATATTAGATTAATATATAATTCTTTTAATAAAATTTATTATTAAATATATACACATCGCTAATATTTATTCAATATTATTACAAAAGTAATACCATTATAAATTTACAATTATAAAGCTTCTTCTTTTTTTTGAGTACTACTGACTCAGTTACAGTTATAGCTTTGTATATGAAAATCATAGAAACTTGAATAGATTAAATCAAAATTATTAAAAATAACGTGTCTATAGTACAGAATAAATTATACTTGCTTTAATAATTAATTATTAATATAATTGACTAATATAAATATACAATTATTAATAATTATTTATGATAATTATTAGGCATTAAAAAAGACAAACAAAAAGAAGAGGAAAACAAAAGAGGAAAGCATATATAGATGTCATACAATATCTTACAGAAGGCAAATTGATAAAAAATTTAATAATTACTTTGAAATCAAATACAGGAAATATTGTTGAAAACATTGCGATATTACAATTAAAAAAAATACTATTACTTTATTGATTTCAAAAAACAATGCCAGCCAAATCACTCATTTCTTCAGGCTCACGGTGGCGGCGCCCTCTTCAAACGCAAAAACGGGATACGAGCGAGAGAGTCCAACCATAATCGAGAAGGTGATTTTACCGGCGTTCGAATTAGGAATAGAAATATGGGTGAGCATGATCCAAAGGACCAACTACTTACTCTTGACGTCTGTGACGTGCTTTAGCATGTGGTCCTCCACGAAAGCGGTGACCTTGTGCATATTACATGTCAATTATAAAGTTGTAATATGATTTTTTAACGGTTGGTGGAAGAAAAGAATGAGAGGGTCACATGCATGGGAAAAGAGGGATGCAATGTAAAATGAACACTTATAATTTTTTTAGTCATCAACTCATTGTATTTATAGGTGAAAAATAAGAGAATTATAAATTTGTAAGATTTTTCAAAAGGAAAGTGTATTTATTTATTTATGGTATTACACTAATCAATTCGTTATATTGATATTCCTAATCAATTTATTATATTAATATTCCTACTTAATATTATTCCTAATTAAATCATAATATTGATATTACTAAATTTTCATTTTACATTTGCTTACCAAATAAGCTTTATTAATTAAGTCGAAGAACGTGCCACAGTCCGTTGCTTCCGACAAACCCAAGATATAAGTTTACGGCCCAAGAACACAGCAAAACCACTAGTAGATTTGCGATTATTCGGATCCCCAGCCCAATCTGAGTTAGAATACGCGTGAATATCCATAGAAGTAGACCGAGAAATACGCAGAACAAGATTCAAGGTTCCTCTGACATACTGCAAGACTCTTTTTAGAGAGCCCCGGTCCGTAGTAGTGGGAGCATGCATATGTTGACACAAGCGAAGCGAGAGTGGAACCAAACTTTTTATATTCTCCCCCTAAATCAGATTGAAAAGAAATAATCTTGCGAGAAAAAGAACGTTCAACAAGTGACCGAAACTTATCAAATATAGCATACAAATCAGATTTAGCACGCATGGGATAATACCACATATAACGAGTGTAATCATCCACAAACAAAACAAAATATTTAAAGCCAGACGCAGAAAGTAGTAGTGCAGGGCCCCAAATATCTGAATATATTAATTCCAAAGGATGCATACTAGTAGTTTCGACACGAGACAAAGGAAAACGGGAGGATTTCCCAATTGACAAGAGGAATATACATTGGGAATATCACTAGAATTGAATGTACCAACAGACGAAGACGCTAAAATTTTACCTAAGATTCGAGAATGAGGGTGCCCTAACCGCATGTGCCAAACGTAAGAGGATCGAGCAACAACAAATGAAGTAGGGGATGTAGAAGACGCAGGCCATGTGTAGAGACCTCCAGGCGCATGTCTCTTAAAAAAATCCTTCTTCGTCAAAATGTCTTTCACATAGAAACAAGGAGGTTGAAACTCAAAGAAAACATTATTGTCTTTCGCAAAGCACTGAACAGATAAGAAAGAAGAAGAGAGACCAGGGACATGCAAAACATCATGTAACTTAAAGGAACTAGAATTAGTAGCTAACGAAGCGGAACCAACATTAACAATAGGCAAACCTGTACCACTGTCGACTCGCAGAGTCTCCGGGTCATCATAACTTGTCGCAGAAGTCATCAAAGAAGAATAAGATGTAGCATGATTTGTAGCACCAGTGTCAGGGAACCACTGATGAGGACCGCTGGAATCACCATTATCACTAGAGACAGACACATTAGCCTGAAAACCCGGAGCCCCTGAATATCGCCAAAAACAGATGGCTCCCGTGTGACCAAAACATTTACAAATTTGACATGGATCGTCATAGCGCCAAAAACAATTGGCTCCCGTGTGGCCAAAACGTTTACAAATTTGACACGGATCATCATAACGCCAAAAACAATTGGCTCCCATGTGGCCGAAATCTTTACAAATTTGACACTGGACATTAAAACCATGTATGCCACTGTAAGTACGATTGCCATGAATATTTGTAGAAACTTTAAAATGACCATCGTTTTGGTTTCTTTTCATCTGCAGAGGCAAAAATTGATTCGGAATGCGACAAGTTGGAATACTTCCCACCACTGCACGTACAATGGTGTAGCTAAAATTCTTGAATTCTTTCTTTCAATTGAAGTGCTCCTTTTTCAATTCTTTTGTTTATTTTCACGTCTTGAGAAGAAAGTCAGTGATGGATGACGACAGCAAATTCTAGAGAAGAAAATTTTAGACAGGAATCCTAGTTAACTGATACCAGATAAGAATATAATTGTGTTTGTTGGTCCCGATAGAGTTGTAGTGAGAGTCTAGAAGGGGGGGGGGGGGGTGAATAGACTCTTTTCGTGTTTTGCCCTAAAAACGATCTTTCGGTGTTTTTGGCGCAGCGGAAATGTTAACTTTGTTTATTTGCTTTGCACAATTTTTTGTTATAACGAAGGTTTTGGTAGTGATGCGAAAGATAAAATGATGCAGAAATAGAAAGCAAAAGTAAAGAGATAGGGAGACGAGATTTTTATAGTGATTCGGCCAACTTTGCCTACTCCACTCTTCTTCCACAACTTATGGAAGGATTGCACTATCACTCTTTAGTACAATTACACAAAGACTTCCTTGATCACTAAGCCAGACAGCCTTTGTAGGTTTTTCAACTCCTCGAGTTTACTCTGCCTCTATCCACTTCTTCTTCTGAGTTGAGGTTGGTAGAAAATGATTTCTGATTTCTCCAACGTAATGAAGTCTTGACTGAGTGGGATGATTGCTTCGTACAAATAGCAAGACTTTCTTAAGGTGTAAGATGAGGATCAGTGAACTTCTTCAAGTATCTTTACACCTTAACACTGGTTGACAAAAGCTTGAGAGATCTGAGAGCGTTTAAGAGCTTTTGCGCATAGATAGATTGAGTGATAAGAACCAGCACCTTCTAAGTTGATGAAGGTGGGCTTTTATAGGTGAGGAAAATTCTACCCGTTGGAGGGAGATGAAATTTTCAAACCTATTGACCAGTGGGTAAGGACCTGGGAGCTTCTTGCATTAAATGCTCCATTAATGATCTTGTACTTTGTAGCCGTTGATGGCATGGAGAGTCTTGGGGTTTTGTCCTTTACCTCCAGGAAATAGTACATCTTCATTTAATGTTACTTGATATGCGTGTGACACCCCAAAAATCCACATTTCAATCCATGGATTAATTGAGTAATTAATCCTATTTTATTTGAGGAAATAATTCCTAAAATCCTGATTTTTAATACTCAAGGACTAGAATTTGACTTGTCAACCTTTAAGTTGTGTTGTACCTTGTGCTTTGAGGGGAGTTCCCTTGTTCCTTACACTTTCTAATGGTTAGTAAGGGTATTCTTGTCTTTTCACCAAGAGTTAGTATTGTAACCTAACCTAGAAGACTTCTTCATTTCATTCCCTACAATTCTTAGAAATTAGTTCTACCTTCTCTCTAGAAAAGAAGTGTAGCTTATTCTCCAAGCCAAGTTGAGACCCTTGTCAAGATTCCAAGATTTGCTTCCAAGATTCAAACTTTCACCTATTTGGGCATCTAGGAGGGTAAGATCTAAGTTCATCTTGTGTTTTTGGTTCCATCTTAGTTGTCTTTTTCTTAAAGGTAGGATCTTTATGATCTTTTGGTTTAATCTTGAAGTGGGTTTGGAAAGTAAGCCCTGTGGGGAGCTTATTGTGGTGTGAAGTGAAGTCTTTTGGTCTTCAAGAGGTAACCCATGCTCTACAAACCTATTTATTGCTTACATATATGTGATTTCTTGGATTCTACATGTGTTTTGCTATGAAATGTGAGGGTTTATGCATTTGTCTTGTGATATTGCATATCTAGAGCTTGTGTTTAGGGTTCCTTTGTGCCATTGCTTGGCATTTTCCATGATTCAAGTCATTTTGTTGTGTTTGGTGAGATTTGGCATGTTTTGGACTTGAATTTGTGTTTGGAGAAGAAAATCCCCGAAGGGATTTGTTGTGGAACATGGATGTTCCCGCGGGCGGAACGGTGGGCGGGACACCACCCGCCGGCCTACCCGCGGGTACACAGGCCTGTGGGGATGTGTTCCCGCGGGCGGGACCACGGGTGGGGCACTACCCGTGGGTCATCCTTATCATCTTCATGATGTCGCTTTTCCCCCTTTTTGGCATCATCGACACATGTGGTAGGAGGAACAGTGGGGAGTTGTTTAATTGCAGTCAGAATGTCTTGTGCATATCCAAGAGATTAAAGAGCATATTGTCCTAGTTGGTATGAGTTGTCCTGGGTAGTGTCGATCTTGGAGCAGGCTAAGTCAACACGTTATTTAAGACTGAAGTGAGAATGCTTGAGTTCGTGCTGTTGACGAGCCACTTTGTTGACAGCAGTGTGAAGTTCATGGAGCTCCTTGGCCACCCGCTTGTGAAATTGTTTGTCAGGATGGTCTTGCGGTGGAGGTTGAGATGGTTCAGGTGGTGGTGGTCGAGGTTGAGCTTGTGCAGCCATCAACTGATCCACTTTCTTGGACAAATCTTCTAAGACCTTGGTGTCTCTTTGCCTTAGAATTAAGTACTGCTGGTGTATGGTTTCGGCTGCATGGACGGTTTCCCTCATGAGATTCATGACTACTCGTGGAGAGACTGGGGGAGAGTCTTCTTCTATGTTGGTTTGTGGAGTCTCAACTTGGTCTCCTTGAAGTGGTGCATCCCTTTTGCCACCACTTCCCGAACTTAGGAGGATTGGGGAGGCTTCCAGTTTGCCCTCATTTACAACTGCCTCCTCTCGTTTTATTGGAGTTTCGTCCATGGGTTGAACATGTGGAACGAGAGCTCGAGACAGATCTTCAGGATGATTAGTTGAGACGTCTTCATCTTGTTGTGATGTTTCCCTTGTGCTATCACTATTGGAAGATGATTTCTGAGTTGGAGATCTTTCGGGAACAGTGTCATATCAGGACCTACTAAGAGAGGAGATGGACTGTCATACATTAGATTTGCTCCATTGTTACCATCATTGTCATCATCATTATTGTCATCATCATTGTCATCGTTTTCGTCATCTGCATCCTCGACATCATCATCTCTGTCTTCGTCTTCTTCATCTTCGGTCGTGTCAATCTCTTGGCCTTGCTCATCTTTCAATCCACTGACACTACGGTTAGGATCATTTTGATGTTCCTTCTCGAGGATGGTTTTGACTTTGGATATCAGCATGGCATACCGAACAATCTTCATTTCTTCCTCAAAAGCTGGGTCCAAGGGAGGTTTGTGGAGCTCTATGCAAATCGGAGCTTTGTCCTTTCCAAGAGAACGATTGGTCATTTTGTAAGAAAACACTCATCTTATCTTCTCAAGACGCAGTGCTTCATTGAGGTCCTTGGTCTCAAGCCACCCAAGAGCGAACTCTTCTTCATCTTTCATGACTTCAAAGGTTTCGATGAATGTGGTCAGAGGGGCTATGCACCATTTTTGCCACTGCAACACTCTGGTGTAATCATTTTCAATGGATTCGCGAAGCAGTTGATCTGGAGATGGAGGAATAGGCGCAGCAGCTGGTGGTTTTGTTGTGACTTCGGGAACAGGTGTTGATGTCTTCGGAAGATCATGAGTTCCAACTAGTACAATGGCTGATTCATCTACCAATTCAGGTTCTTGTGTCAGATGTTTTGTTATCTGTTCTGCACTGGCAGGTTCTTGTGGAAGAGATGGAATTTCACTCAATTCAGCAGCCACTTCTTTCGTCTTTGCTGGCAAGCCAGGTTCTTGTGGAAGACTTAAGTGACCGGCCTCCATGTCCATAGCAGCAGGTTCTTGTGTTGAGCCTTGAATGTTTCGCTTTGCTGAAATGGTTTCTTGTGTATGAAGGACTTGAGGAGAAAAGAGGCCAAGGTTTGGCTCGTGTTGATCAGAAGGTTTCTCTGGAGTGGGTTCTTTCGGCTGATCTTCCCCCTGAGAGAATGCTTCTCTCGTGTCTTCTTCCCCCTGAGAGAGTGCTTCTCTCGGTATTTCGTATTCTTTCGGGGACGAAGATGCACCAATCTTCGGTTTGATGGGAGAACGAAAGTGTCCTGATTTGCCAAGGTTTGACAAAATCAATTTGTCTTCATCAGAGGAATCTTCGACGACAATTGTGTCTGGAGGAGGAATAGTTGAGGCAAGAACATTTTTCTCTGCGGGAGACTTTGGTGAGATGGGAGTGGGTGTTGGTGCACTGATGGCTTCCTTTGTTGACTTAATCCGAGAGGAGCGCTTCTCTTTCTTCTGTCTTTTCGGCTTTGGTTGGTCATCTTCTGATCCTTTCGGTGTCCTTGACTTCCGTTTAGATTTCACCATTTCTAAAGGAACACCCAACTCCAAAGCTTTCTGCTTGTCATATCCGGAGGGTTTCTGCTTCATGTGGCAAGCTTTTTGTCCTGGACGAATTCCTGGTCTCATGAGAACATCTTTTGAGACAAGTAAGTGACTAACCAAAAACCCATAGCCCAGTTTCTTTGTGATATCACCGGGGCTTTGTCTGTTGAAGATAACTGTATGAACAAGGTTGTTGAAGATGACCTTCGACCAGTCAACTTTGTGTTTGTTAAGAAATGCATGCAGCATCTTGAGCTTCTCCTTTGTCACATCATCAGTTCCAGATGTTTTGTGATCGACGATCTTATTGAAGATGTTTACAGTGAACTCATAATCTAGCCGGAACCACTTCTTCTTCAAGGGCCATGAAATCTCAGTTTTCGAAGGTGCATGAGCGTTTTTTATGGTATCGTAAAACTCACTCGAGTCATAGTGGTAGAAAGAGAGATTTCCCTTGTATGTGTCATCTCTCTGAGGAAATCCATACGCTGCTCGTATATCCTCTGATGTTATAACCACTTGATGGTTATGAACTCTTGAAGTAATGGTTAGAGAATCGGAAGAGACAGTTGCATTCATATAAAATTGCGCAACGTCAATGGGATACCATAATGTATAAAGATGAGTGATGAACCTGTATAGCCCAGTCTCTGTGAGTAGATCAATGATGTCTTCTCCAAACTTGCGATCAAGGACATATTCTAGGAACCCATGAGCATCCCACATGCTCCCTCCGATAATGAGTGGAGCCCTAGATTCAATGAAACGTATATCTTCGATAGGAAAGAAAGAGATTTCCAAGGGGGCTGGTGTTTATGGTTCTTCATTAGAGAGGGTTTCTTGGATTTTCTCCGCCATTGTTAAGTGTTGTGTGAGAGCTGAGATGGTAGAGTGGTTTTGAGATGGAGAGTGAATGAAAGAGGTGAAAGATGTAGAATGGGGAGGTTATGTAGGGTTTCATTCGTTGCTAGGTACTTAAATATGGGTCAACCCGTATTTGGGATGGAGGATTTAAATTTCAAATAAACAACCGGTTTCATCTTCCTCAAATGGTAACAGATCAACTTATGGGAAAGTGATAAGATCATGCTCAGATCAGTTTTGATCATTCCATATTAAAATGAGGAGAGAGAATTTCACTCAAGTGCCTGTACAGGCAATAAATTGTAGTCGCATCATCTGTCAAAGGTTGTGGGGTAGTGGACCATTTTTCTCGGCCACATGATCCCAATGATGAAAAGTGTAAACGGTGCAGATGAGAGATTGGGAAGCGTCTAAGATACGATTGTAGACCGAAAGAAGATAAGCTTCACATAACAGAAGATTTGTAAGACAAATAAAGTCAAACAAATCTAGTACAAAGCATATGGTCAATTTTCATAACCCGAGAGATGAATTATTACACGAAATGATAATTGTAAGAGTGGTGACTGCATCTCTCGTGAAATAAGTCCAACATGAGTTTTTACTCCTTGACATCCTCCTTTTTTCGAGCATTGATAAAGTACTCCTTCTTGCGCACCTCATGTGCAAAGACTTCAGCAATGATGGTGTCGTGATCCGTTCCCATTACATCCCTTGAGAGACCTCGTCTCTCCAAGTTATCGAGTTCAGCTATGACTTTGGCTTTTGCACCGGCATAAAAGGTCCGATATGGTTCGTCGTGCTTCAGCTATGGTGCAAGTTGTACAAGGGAGAAGAATTCTGAGACGCTTGGTGATTTGACAGATTCATCAAATGATGTTCCCTTCACCAGTGAACTCTCGGGTTTTTGACAATAGTCATTTTTGAACTCAGATAGACTTCCAGTTATAAGAGCTATTTCCTTCTCTTTGTCCTTGATATTCTCTGTTGAGAAGAATGAATCCATAATTCCTGAGGGAGTTCTTTATATAGAGTGACAAATTTATCAAAAGATGTGACCCGAATGACTAGTCATAGTTATAAAGATCACGCTTGAGGGAATATTTTCATTTCCAAGAAGAGTGAACTTAGCCAGAGATGTACTTTGATAGGAATGAACAAAACAAATAAAGTTTCGTCCATTACTTTAGTAGTTTCAAGATAATAAACACCAAGAAATTATTATTCATTAAAAAACGAGAGAACCAGATACAGATAATTGAAACATGTAATCCAAAGGACTAGTTTTTCTTGCTCTCATTTCCCTTGCCCCCAGATTGTCCAACTTTCGGCTTATTCAGATCAGCCCACATGCGCTTGTACCATTTTCAGGTACGCAGAAAGTTGGAGTCTGTAGATGACTCCGGCACTTCTTCAGTTTTGGATTCATCAGCTTTCGGTACATGCTTGAGTTCTTCTTCTTTCAGATAGTCCATGTAGTCTTGATCATAGTACTTACTGGGATCATCAAGGGATTTCGGGAGTGATGAGACAGCTTCTCTCTGAGGGTTTTCTTCGGGCTCTTCAACAATGAACCCAGCCATATCATCATACAGAGATGATTCTTCAGTATCAGACGAGATCTCCAATGGTGCTTGAAGGCTATTGCCTGGATACATGTCTCCTTGCTCTTCTCTTATTTGCCTGGCGAGTTCTCGTAGTTTACGAGAATCTCCCCTTGTAAAGGGCTTTTTAGGAGCCATTTGTGAGGATGAGAATGGTAGAGAAAAGCGAGATATAGTCCCCTTTTATAGGCAGATTTTGAAGAGATAACAGTGTGAAACTGTTCTCAGCATTCAATGCTGCAATTAATGACCATGTATTTCTTCAACTGACCATTAATGTTGTGGAAGACTTTGAATGAACATTTTCAAGAACGTCATAATTTTAGGGTCAGAGATATGACTTCAAGATGTGTGAATGTCAGGTAGTCAGAGATTCATGACGAAAACCTTCATTAATTCAAAGACAGATCACGAAACATAGATGAACAGAAATACATATCTTAAAGACAATTTGAATACATGACAAAGAAATTTTCATTTCTTTCCTTTTCCCTTCTTCGTGTTACTGGTTTCGCCCTTGGTGACCTTAGTGGTTCTCTTAGAAGTAGGAGCTTTTGGGCGCAATGGTCCACCATCAGGATGTATTTCTTCATCAGATTCTCCTTCAACATACCCCACAAGTTCAGATTTGCAATCATAATGACGATAGAACTCCCTGAGATCTCTATCCATAGTGATATCATTCCAAGCTTCCAATGTTAAGAAGCCCTTTTTAACAATTAGAGGGGGTTCCTCATTTGGATCAAAAGATCTTGCATCTCTATCAGCATCTCTATTGATGAATTCATCAAAATCTTCAATTTTAGAATCAGATGAGATGTTCAGGGGATTGATAGGATTGTTTCCAGGATTGTGAATGCCTCGTTCACCCTCGTCTGGATGAGCTCGGGTCTTTCTTGACACCTTTTTGGTGATTGAGACTTTAGGAGCCATGGGTGATAAGAGGGATGCATTTTGGCAAAGCCACTGCCCTTCTTTTATAGCAATTTGAGATGAGAATTAATCCCTTATCCAAATGTTGATCAATAGGGGAATCTATGATTTCCGAAGAGTCAATTAGCATTAAACTCATGTGTAATACTTTAAGACATAATTCCATCTTTGACCCGAGAGATAGATAATCTGACATAAAAGTATCAAGGTCAAGAGAGTAATTAGTAATGGCACAAATAAACAGGAAACTTCATTAAAGAGATTCGTGCAGAGATATTCCAAACCATACAAGTAAGACATGCAATATTCAGATAAAGCGATAGGGCATGTGAAGTTCCAGACGGGTAAACTCATCAGTCACATCGGGCAGATTAGCCCTGTTTGAATATTCGTCCAGTTCCTCAAGTGTGAGGGTAGGCGTGTTTGGGTTAATGGGTGACTGAGAGTGAACCAAAGTGAGATCTTCGTAGGTTTTATCACTTTGTTGTGGAACTTCAGGAATAGGGTACCAACGAAAGTTAGGTGGATTTGTTGAGTGCTTGTTAGCGCTCTTCAACATCATTATCCTTT